ATAAACACCCGGTGCCACTGTGCGGATGAGGATTACCCGTGGAGAGGTCCCAGAAACCTTTTTCAGCCGTTAGGACATGGCTAAGCCATATTTATGGCCCGACTATTTTCAGGGCTCCGTCAAAACCTGAGGTGGGGCTTCAAAATAAAAAAAAAATTGCATCCCACAAGGCGACGACTTATAGTATATTGGAGATCATTTGCAACCAACTTTAGTTGTGGAGACAGCACATTTATTTATTTAGCTACGCGTGGGTTCCTGTGAAAGATGTATATATTTTAGTTATATCAGATTTTCTAACCTGTCCTATCCAAAGACAGCGTCTCTAGCTGACTTCTTGATTTAATTAGGGTCACATTGTCAGTCAGGTCACATTCTTTTGTCCATGTACATCTGTATTTCAATAGATTTTGGTGTTGTTATCACTCGTAACCCATGTGGGATACAATCCTTTTGTTATTTTGAAGCCCCACTCGGCTTTTGGCGGGGGCCCTAAATATAGCCGGTCCATAAATATGGCCTAACCGCTGAACGGGGTTTCTGGGACCTCTTCATGAGTAATCTTCATCCGCATAGTGGCACTTTGTGTCACCGGGTGATTATCGCTTGTGTGATGTCCTGGTGGGTACAACTTACCTACCTACCTTTGTGGGTGCTCCCCTAATCTAAGCTGTATTTAGTGTATATTAAATTGTGTGTTTCAGGAAGTAATTTTGTGGGGGAACGGGACACAGAGGGTCATTTTCCCTGATGTGCCACGTAAAGTATTTAGCAAGCCTTAAGATTGTATACAAGTTTGATGATATTATGAGACAAATAATAGGAACGACACCTTGTACAAGATTCATTGAGAAACAGCAGATCAAGTGGTTTATACATCTCGTTAGAATGCAGTATGATCACAAACAGGCACTACATCTCAGAAGATCAACTACAAGAGCATGAAAAACGCAGCGAAAACGAAAAAAGTATGGATCGACAACATTAAACACACTCTACGCCATCATGGCATGACAATAGACAGTGGCAGCCAGCTTGCACTGGATGACAAATGATTCCTCCCCACTTCGCTTAACGGCAGAAGTGGTTTATGATGATGATAACAGCAATCGTATCTCACTTAGTCTGCTTCCTTCCTTTCAAATTATCTCACGGGTAGCAGATTTTTCGATCAGCTTTTTCTTATATACAATGTCTTCTTCTTCTGCTCTCTTCTCCCATTGGAGCACATGCCAACACAGGACCTGATTTCGACTTGATGAGGTCCTAACATATATTAAAACCTTGAGACCCCTGTTATTTTAATTTGCACCATATAAAGAAAGGAAAAGCACCAGGACCAGACAACATCTCAACGGAAGAAATCGAAGCACTGGGCGATTTCTGAATTGAAATAATAACTAAACTTGTAATGATATTTATAATAGTGGGTACATTCTAAATGACCTTTTAAAATCCATATTTATAGCTTTGCCAAAGAAACCAGGCAATTTAAAATGTGAAGACCATCGCACTAATAAGTCTTATGAGTCACATGGCTAAGATGTTACTGAGAATAATTATGAGAAGAATAAGAAACAAAATCAAACTAGAAATCAGCGACGAGCAATGTGGATTTGTAGAAGAAAAAGGTACAAACAATGCCATATACAGCCTAAGGCCATTGTCAGAAACAGCTATAGAAGTAAAGACAGATGTGTACTTATGCTTCATAGACTATATAAAATCTTTTGACTGTTTGAAACACGAAGAAGTAATAAGACTGTTGGAAAAATTAAACATTGATTGAAAAGATCTACGAATAATAAACAAAATTGTCTTGGCAGCAAACAGCAGCTATTTTGATTTGATTTGATTTGATTTGATTCAAGAACTGACATCACAGCACTCGGGGCATTCCCATAATCGCTCCGTCCCCATCTTCAGCAGCCATCCCAACCTCATCAATCTCACCAGACTGTGGTGATCCATATGCTCCTCCGCATTGTACACGCTCTCCCACAAGGCACTGGCCACGTCTGCCCTATCATGTAGCAGTATTCCACCAAGTTGTGCAGAGCCAGCCAGTCTGTCCGCCTGTTCAATTCCCAACACACCGACGAGCACCCGGTGAAAAAATCCAGATAATACTCCTCACTCGTGTCCTCCGCAGCGAAGCATGCCACTCTGCACGAAGCATACCTGTTCTGATCTTCCTCAGCATGCTTTCTGAATCAGTTACAACCACGATGTGTGTGTTTGTCGATTTATCTAGCCAGGGGAAAGCTGCAGTGACCACCTCCACCTCCATTCTTAAGCTGGATGTTGTGGTATCATATGCTAGGCTCTCCTGCACCAAACGTCGACCATTAACTTTTGCTAAAAAGCCCCAAGCACTTCGTTTGCCTCTTGACACTGAACCGCCTGTGTAAATTATCAAATCCTCTGAGCGAGCATTATCTTGAATTAATTGCTGAATTTCCACCTCTGTGGCGCCTGCTGGCCAGTCTCTGCATTCCCGGCTCAGCGTGATTATGACTCTACACAAGTCAGACTGCTCAGGTGGCACTTTGACCCACTCCTCTCCTCGCCTAATGTTCTCAAGGATGAAAACCTGTCTGATTGTGTCTTCTGCCTGAGCCATTCATGACCTCCCTCTTATCAGCCGCTGACCCTTAACTGCACCCAGAGCTTCATGCAGAGGGTGGTCTGTGTCTGCAGCTACCCTGAGATATGACTTCGCCTGCATCACCTTGTGCCTACCTGCAACCGTCGGCAAACCAAGGATGTGTCGCACACACACCACTGGGGTATCTGTGGTGCAACCCAGAATGACCCGCATAACCGCTTTCTGTATGCGCTCTAGCTTGTCCATCTGGCTCTTTGAGACGGTAAGCAGTCCCAGGCCATAATCCACCACTGACAGGATCAGGTGCTGATATAGTTTGAAAAGCATTCTCTGCTCTATGTCAATTTCAGCCATAGTCTTAAGTGCACTCAGTCCTTTTTGGCATCTCGTCACAACACTCTCCACATGATCCTTAAATGACAGGCTCCTGTCAAATGTAATTCCCAGATACTTCAGTTTGCTCTCTCTGTTGACGTCTCTACCATCTATCGTGAGACTTGGTACAATAGTTTTAATGATTCTGTTGTCCAGAGAACACCACAAAACAGACGCCTTTTCCGGGTGAACGACAGCCTTCATTTCTGTACACCAATCAGTCACTTTGTCTACTGTCGCTTGTAGCTCCCGAGCTGTTTGTTCCCTCTCTTCCCCCTGCCTATATGCAAGTATATCATCCGCAAAAGTCAGTATCCTTCCAACTTCTGGTGCTTCTAGGCTTGTAATCTTGCTCGTATACACGTTGAAGAGCACAGGCGAGAAAGCGGATCCCTGTGGCAGTCCTGGGGCCAAAGTGCATGGTTCAGAGGTCCATGAGCCCAGTCGGAGAGCAACCCGACGTGAATACAGGACAGCTGCAACCCAATTCACCAGCCATGGATTGACCTTCTTCTCCCTCAGTGCAGTCATTAAGATGTCGTATCTCACTCTGTTATAAGCAGATCCAGTCCTACTGCCATAGTTTCCTGTCTGTTCTGGAACCCTTCATAGACGTCAAAAGCAAAAGTGGCCGCATTTGCCCAAGTGTCCTTTCCTGGCCTGTAACTTCCCAGACCTCTTGGGAGAAGCTTCCCCCTTTCCAAAAATTCTTGTAACTTTACAGCAACTATCTTCTCCAAGACCTTACCAAATGTGTTTTGTAAGGTGATGATTCTAAAGCCACTAAGCTTAGAATGATCTTTAAAAGGTTTTGGTAGTGGTATTAGATAGCTGTGCACCCAGTCTTGCGGTACAGCAGCTATAAGAATTAACAACTGTTTAGCTACATTGCAGCGCATAAAGAGGGGCGTAAGACAAGGATGTGTTTTGTCAACCGATTTATTTTCACTATACAGTTAATATATATTGAGATCTTTAATTGATATGCCCCGAATTGTGGTTGATGGGCATAATATAAACAATTTACTTTGGGCAAATAACACAGTCTTGATAGCAACAAATCGGAAAGAACTCTAGAAAATAGACATTGTGGTGGTAGAAAGTGGAATAATGGGCCTCAGTTTGAATAATGGAAAGACAGAAGTAATGGTGGTATCAAAGAAAAGAATTATTCCTAAATGTGTAATAAAAGTCAATAGTGTTATTGTGGGACAAGTACAGAAATGTAAGTATCTGGACACATGGATAACATCAGATGAAAGATACATTACTGAGAAAAGAAACAGAATAGGACAGGCAAACACTTTACAGTCTTGTTGCATGGCATGAAGGTGTGTCAGCACACGAACTGATATATGCTGTAGGAGATCGCGGCTTGTGGAGAGGCCTGATCGCCTACGCCAGTCGGCAAGGCACCTGATGAGGATATATAATCACGCCAGTTGGCAAGACACCTGATGATGATGATGATGATGATGATATAATAGTTCTATGTTGGGGTTCGGGCTTCTGGCCTCAAAGATTTGCATGTTCAACATTTTGTTCCCTGAGTAAACTTAGTTGAGTAGCCCTGGACTAAAGTAATCTTCTTCTTCTTCTTCTTTCTCTTCGCGTTCACCGGCTTTAAACTCCAGCGGAAAATTCTGGTTGTTCGTCCACTTCTGGACTCTAGTCATGTTCCAGAAACTGAGTGTTGCGTGTACATCCGTTTCACAGGTCTGATTCATTTGCATGCATACTGTTGGTTCCTTACCTCTCAGGTAGATGTAATCCGACTTCAAAGGACGTCCCTATTTAGTCGACTCTTTCCACATACCTTTAAACAGGCAGTGGGTCTATTCTTGTTTTTCCCGCAATGGGGCCCCGGAACCCACACTAAAGTAATGCCTCCCTGGAACTGAAAGAGTTAAGGCAAACATGAGTTTAAAACTGGGAACACCCCCATTCTGATCGAAAACGAAACGAAGCAATCGTTGCGCGGAAAGATTTTCCCGAGATTCTTTTATTCGTAGCCAAAATGGAGGATCTTTCGGTTGAAGTTAACGACGGTAACGGAGTTTACTATAAGGTTTGTTTTTTGTTCTTTCGCGATATTAAGGTTGATTTCACTTTGTTTATATGTATTGTTTAGGATACAATTAACTTAGTAGTTAAACTCGAGATAATCGTAATCCGTATAATTTAAGCAGATAATGATTGATTAATGATGAGATAAAACAAATGACTTAACTTTTCAATTTTGTTCCAGCGCGGGATGCCATAGTTACTAATACTTAATTATTGTAATGGATAATTAATGGAGGTATTATATATTTATTTTAAATCACCGAAAATTAATTTATTGTTCTAGCGATAAACTGATTTGCTGATAATGATGAAAGCTTAAAAGACTGATGAAACATGAAATTAACAGTCCCGACTTTCGGACTCCAAGCATGATCTTGCTTGCCCCTCGTAACTTGTTTGTTTGTCACCCCACCCCAGACCGACCTGTCTTTAATAGTACAGTCTTCGGACTGCTCAACATTGAAAGAAAATTGTATATTTTTTTTTAGATTAAGCTAGCGATTTGTTGCCAAACTCTTTCATCAGACACTTATTAAACTTATTTTAACATTATCATTATAAATATGCTGTTAAATGTGTGGTTGTGCTTTTTTATGACATCAAATTTCATATATTCATGCATCAGTTTTTAAACTTTAATACTTTCATTTGTTGACATATTTATTCACCTTGTTTACTTACAGAAGATAGTATTCCATTACAGTGCTATAGAGAGCACAGAAATCACACCCTTTAGATCAAATGTGACTGGCAAGATCAGTTCACAGAAGTAAAAAGAAATGTTTTATGCACATATGACATAAGATTTGAATTTGAGAGAATTGTACTAGTGCATGCGTGACACTGAGAGAGTGTACAAGTACTTAGTAGTAAAAAGTTCAACCAAGACAAAAGACAGTGTGTTAAAAATCCATTGCAGCGGAGCCAGCCTTGTTCGAGATGGCACCTGATACATCGCATGCTTTGGTTTTTCTCAAATACCCATTTCTTAATTCTTTAAGCTTCAAGCAATGCCTGATGTATGGATGACTCTTTCTATCCCTTGATTTGCCTCCATAGCTTAATGTGCTCTCTTACTTCTAACCTTTGATCAGATCATATGTAATAAATCTGGGTTTTCCAGTGACATCCAGTTAATAAATATTGCCTATTGCCGCTTTGAAAGTAATGCTTTGGTATCTCCTGTGAAATCTTCTGAGGCTGATGCAACAGTTTATTTCTAAGACTTGACCCTATTCCTTCTCTTGATCTTCTTTCCCCTGCATGTAACGTGATCCGTGACATCTTGTTCCCATGATTTCATCTCAGCTCTGTATCATTCATCTCTTATTCTTATATTAAACTTATGTTGACATAGACCTGGCCCTGATATTTGTCATCTGTAATTCACCATAGATGATGTCCTCATAACACCAGCTTTTCTCCAGGTTTTTGAGGTTTTGAACAACGGATCATCATGGCACACGAGTAGTAACCCATAAGTTCTCCGTTCTTCTTCTGACTCAAGTCTGCATTCAAAGAGGCTGAGCACCGGCGAGGATCGTGAAATACTTTGGATAGATTTTTAACTCAAAAATTTTGCCTGGGCAGTTCCATTAGGCTACTCTTTTCGATTTCCAACTGCCAAGGGATTTTTTTATGTGCGCAGCATTGCTGCACACGGGCGTCTAATCTCACTAACCAGAGACCAGGAGGAATTACTAGAAGTCCAAGTCCACATGAAAAAATTCCAGCCCTTACCGGGAAGTGAACCCAGAACCTCTAGCACTTGAGGCGGACACTATGCCTCAAAACAACGCAGCCACCCAGCTTTTCTCAAAACCTCTGTTATCTTGCCACCTCAATCAGTCAGGTTGGCTGCAGTGGATTTCCAAGTCTCCTGTCTTGGTAATGCACCCCCAGTCTGCAGTTCATCCATCTCCTTATGTTGTCAATCCACTTTTGTCTACGGACAGGGGATAAATAGAAGATACATGTCTAGAGAACTGCAGAACACTGTAGACAAGGTAGGGAAGTTGTGTGAGGAAACCTGTTCTTTCATCAATCCAGATAAGACATCTATATTGTGGTGTTCATTAAATAATAGAATTGTTAGAGACGTGGTTCCAAAAATAAATGGTAGTAACAGAGAGAATTCACTGAAATATTTTGGCATGACTTTTGACAGGAGCCTGTCATTCAGGTACCATGTAGAAGAGCTAGTGTCAAAGATAAGGAAACGACTTAGTGTGTTACAAGTGATGGCATTAATGGACATGGAACAAAGAATGTTCTACACATTACCAGCAGCTGATTATTTAGGGGATGTTGTATGGTTTTGGCCTGCTCATGCTATCTAACAGCCAGGCAGAGAAGCTGGAACCCATGCAAAACAAAACCATGCAAGTCATTTTGGAATCTGCGGAACATGCCAGTCATGTGCATTTGGCACATACTTGCATTTTCATTTGTTTATGAAAGATATAAGCTGTTACAGGTGTAAATATACTTTAGAGTCTCAGCGTACAGGGAACACCTTCTACATGAGGCCTTGGGACAGAGCAAGGGTCATTAGCTGAAAAGAGATAGCTCTTGGATGGCACAGGTGGAAGTCATGATAAGAACTGTTTGTGCTAATGATAAAATAGCGTTTGACGAGGAATGGATTACAGTGCCACCCAGCAAAACAGGCTTGCACTGAGTGAGAGTTACCTTGGACAAGAGGGGCTGGGAAATGGGTAGCTGGTGAAACAGAGGCACTGATGCAAGAGCTGATCTTTGAAAATTTCCCCCCCCCCCCCCCCCAGGGATGGATGGATCTGTAGTGAGAGGTAGAAAGAGTGGGTGGGGTTTTTATTGCAAAGGTGAATAGATACTGTTAGAGAAAAAAGAGCGCCTCACACATAACGTCACAACGTCCAGTATACAAATCGAGGTGGAGGCAGAAATGGCAGCTTTCCCATGGCTGTAGAGCAGCACAACCGGCTCTCCTTTAAATAACGGTTGCTAGCTGGAAGGCGACGGTCGCTTAGTCGGAGTTCACTCCCTTGGCTGCAGTGCAAATACGGAGTGGTAAAGAGGGAACGAAACAAATGATATAGTTACCTGTCATCCTTGGGTTAGGGTGACACATCACGGAAATGACGGAAGCTTATCCCTCATTACGACACACAGATCCGCAGGTCACACATCTACGGTCACTAAGTCGTGCGTCGGAAGAACGCAGTCACTAATTTGAGTCACAGCGCGTGGTCTACGAGAGTCTAGCGTTGCAAGACCGCGGTCGCTACTGTCAGTCGCAGCGCATGGTCTAGCTCTAGCAGGCATGTCGACCTCACGTTGTTTTTTGATTCGTGACTTGTCCCCTCCGTATTTGCACTCCATTGGGAGTGAACTCCGACTAAGCGGCCGTCGCCTTCCAGCTAGCGACCGTTATTTAAAGGAGAGTCGCACAACCCAACATGTGGTAACTGTAACACACTCAAAGCATGCTTTGGATGATAGAAACTGGAGTCCTAGACATATGGTGGCTGAAATCGCTTGATAAGACTAAAATCACAATCATGGATTTTCATGGTGTAGTGAGCAGGCTGATAGATTGGCTGCTGCAGCTCCTCTGGGTGATAAGCTACTTGGTGATAAAGCACCTGTGGTGAAGCCTGGGATCAGGTGGACAGTGCAACAGAACAGACCGAGAACAGTGACAAATTTAGTGTGGAAGGGGGTGTGGGGTAAGCAGAGGGCCTGGAAAGTATTCAACACTGATGAAAAAACATAGGCAGTTTCATCGTCTTGCTTTTTTTTTTAAAACCGTAACCCTGGTATGGTTTAAAAAAATGTGCTTCTTTTTTTTTTGTTCACTGACAGTAAGCTCCGACGAAAGTCCTGGTTGTTCGTCAACTTGGGCTTTTCCTTTATGCCAGGGTCTGAGTTTTGCGAGTACATCTGTTTTACATGCCTGTTTGGGTGTTCCTTGCAGCTCGGGCAGATGCACTCCGACTTCGATGGAAGCCTCCAGTTAGCCGACTCTTACAACATGCTGTTTAAGGAGGCAGTGGGTCTATTCTTGTTTTCTCCACAATATGGCCTAGAATCACACGGGGGGGTGGGGGGGGGGGTTTCTTTCATATAATAAACAATTATTCATTGATTGGCACCCATAGAAAGATAGAAGGACACACTAGACAACATAAAAATCAAAAGCTATGGTTATAGTGCCTTGCTGCAGAAACAAGTGTACTAGGACGAACGAGCACACGGGGAACCCCTGAGACTGTAAAAACAGTATGTGTGATAAACAAATAAAAAATAAAATCTGCTTTTGTGGAGGTCTGCCGAGGCCTTGTTTTACAGAAACTGCACCTCCATTACTGTTTTCTCCAGGCCACCTTGACTTAACATGGCCAAAATAACTCTGCTGTTTATGAGCCAGTTCTCCTTGATGTTTCGATCATGCATGTGTTTTTTCTTTCTTTTTTTATCCATGGTAGACCGAGAATTTTTTCTCTGGTATTTGAGTTCAGAAGCTCAGATTTTTGTCTTCAGTGATTAATAGCCCATGATCGCATCCATAACTTACCACAGGAAGGATGCATGATTTAAAAATGTTTACTTAAACTCCATTGAAATACCTGAACAAATTTAGCTGTTTAAAGGCTGTAGTCCGCTCCTGGTTAGGCTGTTTATCCATACTGAAAAACTTCTTCAGCGTTCACCTTTGAAAAGGTGGTTGGCGCTTTTTGCTGTGGTCTACAGCTAGACAATGATATCTGTACCTTTCAGTCTAACACTTCTGAGGGTGTTTAAAGGGTGAGTGGTTGCTCACCTGTTACAACATCTTAGGAAGTAGGTCTATTAATCATCATGTGCCATGCCGGTAAGCGAGGGCCGTCATATTTAGTCATCTCATACATCACCAGAACCATGGATTAGGTCAGAGCTCTTGTCTCACTCCCACGCCATCCAGGTATTCATCTATACCTTCCTGTTCTCTTTCCACACGTCTTGTCATTTGATACAAGTTCTTAAGTCCATTCCATCTCATAATATGTCCGATAAACACAGTCTACCTACTTCTAATCGTTCTAACCCAGTGATTCCCAAACTGCGCTGCGGTCACCCGGGGAGCCGCAACCTCTTCACAGGGGCGCTGCAAAATATTAAAAGATGCACGAGTTTTATTTGTTTTGATCTCTTACATATGATTAGTCATACTTTTACTTAGGTTAGGGCGCTGTGGAAAAGTTGTAACTGAAAAAAGACGCTGCGAATTAAAAAATGTTTGGGAAACACTGTTCAAACCAGTTTATGATATTCCCTGTCTCAAGAACTGCATCATTTGTTTCTTCTGTCATTCCTTTATATTTTTCTCAAAAGCCAAATCTCTGCTGGGCGTTCTTAAGCATACGTTATTTAAATTGGATTATACTCCATTTATGTACATTAATATTTTACTTACGTCTTCTTGCAGGCATATTTAAAAAGCTTCTATGATGATGAAGTGCTGGTGTCTTTTGAGAATAAGTAAGTATTGCCAGTGTGGTATCTTTCGTTTTCTCTGCAATCTATACAACAAAATTTTTTTTTTATAGCATTATTATTATGCAAACATCTCTTTAACATTTTATTATTTTTTTTTTACCTTTTTGTTGTCACTGTATGCTCTGTTTTAAAAAAAAAAGTTGTTTTTAAGTGGAATTTGGCTATGTGGCCTCCTTATATGTTCATGAAGTGGGTATTCTGCTTTATATGGCAGCTTTCCGCCTATGAAAATGGCTTATATACCTATCCTAAATGTTGTTTACATGTGGCTGTGTAATGTGTTATCCCTGTTCTGAATTGCAGAAAAATGACTGGTTCTAATCTGTCCATAAAAAGGTATTCGTCTTATGCCGGGGTTGATGAATGTTTTTGCTCCGACATCTTTTAATGAATGTTCATAGTTTATTGGTAAATATTTAAGTCTTTGCTGCAAGTTTCTGATTCATACAGCTGTAGTAAGTTATTTGTAAAGTAAAGTAAGTAAAATAATGGACCCCTTTCCACGCCTTTATGTGTATTTGGCATATCGACTAGATCTGTATTTTATAGACCATTCAGCACTTGTGGTTGATGTCCGCCTTTACTTCCTAGGACTTTTTTTTTTACCTAGTACCCATTCAAGGCTAGGTTGACTTGGGGGAAAGGTCTTCTTTTTTTAAAATTAAATAAAGTATAGCTCTCTTTGGATCCGCAGGTGAGCTTCTAGCCGCTTTACCACTGTAATAAGATATTTGTATTATGATACAAAAACTGCAAAATGTGCTTTGTTATAATGTATCACACACATTTAAAAAAAAATGCAGTCATAATTGTTTTACCACTTTATGAGAAAAGAAAAGCTGGAACAGATTGTGACAACTGAAAAAATGTATGAAAGTTGAGATAGTGGAAGGCAGAAGATTTTTGATGGCCTATTGTCATTGACATAAAAGGTGCCCTCACAGCTTCCAGAACCCAATCTTGGAGGAAAAGAATAGACCCACTCATTGCCTTTCTAGCTATATGTTGTAAAAGATGACCAATTAGGTGTTTGGTGTCGAAACTGGAGTGCATCTGCCTGAGAGGTGAGTAATGAATAGTCTGCATGTAAATAAGCCGGATCTGTAAAATAGATGTTCACGCAAAAGTTCTGGAACAAGACTAAAGTCCAGAAGTGGACAGACAGCCAAACTTTCCACTGGAATTTACTGCCTGTAAATGGGAAGAAGAAGAAGACACTGACTACATTGTGTGTGTGGTATCTAGACACAAAAAGGTTTGAAATCATAGCAGATTAGCAAACTTTGCTTTTGTAACTAAATTATTACCCCGTTTTCGCCCAGAGAAGCCAAAAAACTGACACTTCCAGTCAGGTCAAATTCCACATAAATGCCACTTTTGTGACTTGTCTTTAATGACATATGTTAGAGGCACATAGTTAATGCTTTTGGATGTTTTTGCACCTGCACAAACATTTCAGAGGTCAGTATATGAATACATTGACTAACAGTGGGGTGGGTTCTTGTGAGCTAAATGGCTTTTTAAAATCTAAGTTGTCATAATTTCCCATAACCCTCAGTGATAGAAGTCACTGGGTCACAGCATGAGTCACCCAATACATGCTTTTTTAAGGTTCCGGGGAATGTATTCCATTAAATGCTTAACCCTGTTCATGTTAATTTTTCACTACTTACTTATATCTTTATATATTAAGAAGAAGAAAATGTCCAGCTTGCTAGCGCAGTTGGCTTAACTGCGACCGGGTGACGAACTCCTTGTGGTTCGGGTTCACACCCCGGGGGTAGGCAAAAAAGCCACATTTCTCCCAGATTTGTGCTATCTATCATGGAATCAAGGCCGAAGGGTTGCAATATCCATAGTACAGAGCCAAAGGGTTTTAACAGCTCATGGTTTCTGGATACTTAAAAAAATTTTTTTTTTTAATGTGGATAAATACATTTTTTAAACACATTATTTATTAGTGAAATATATAACATTGTATTTTTTTTGAGTAGATTTTGTTCCTGCATTCTAAGAGGTCATGACCTTTTTTTTTAATAGTGTTCTGGGGGCAGAAGGGATGAAACAGTGTTGTTGGGTTAAGCATAGACTAGTCTGAGGTGTAAGTGGCTCTTGTATGTTTAAAAAAAAAAAATTTTTTCATGTGTGATCAGCTGGCAGCCGGATAAGAGGGTAAAGTTGTCCAATGTACGACTGCCACCAAAGAATGGTACAAACAAGGCAGAGTTTAAAGAGGACGATCGAGTTGAGGTAGGTCCATATGTTTTTGGCAAGAATATGTGCAATGTTGTTAATGTATGTGTGTGTTTATTCTAAGTTTGTGAATGTTCTTGTGACTTTATGATTATTCAGACAAGAATAATTGCAACAAGTTCTTTATTTATCTTGAGTTTATGTATGTTTTTGTGGCTTTATGAATATTCTGACAAGAATAACTGCAACAAGTTCTTTATTTATCTTGAGTTTATATATGTTTTTGTGGCTTTATGAATATTCTGGCAAGATTAATTACAATAAGGTCTTTGTTTATTCTGACTGTTATAAATGTTCTTGTCACTTAACGAATGTTCTGGCGAGAATAATTGCAATATAAATGTGTGAGAAATTTGTGACGGGTAACTCAACATGGTTGTTGAGTTTAGGAAGGCACACATATGTTTATATTGGCAGAAATAGATGGGCTGGCCAGAAATCAGTACCTTGATGGCAAAAGAAATGCCTTAGAGCAGTGATTCCCAAACTGTGCCTCGGCGCCCCAAAATATTCAAAGATACACTGGTTTTTTTTTTTTAATCCGTTACATATAAATAAGTCATACTTTTTTACTTAGGTTAGGGCGCCGTGGAAAATTTTAATTGGGAAAAGCACCGTAACTAAGAAAAGTTTAGAAAACACTGCCTTAGAGAATGAGCTGGAAGTTGAGAGCCAACATAATTGCACTCAGGGCATTTCCATAAGTGCTTCGTCACCCATCTTCAGCAGCAAGCTCTTCATTCAAATTCAGATAGTGCTAGTACAGCCTGATTGATGGTTTGTCCATCTGGCCACTCCACACTGCACGATTCTCTTCAGAAAATAAGAAATAACATTGATTTCCTTGTATATAAATATTTAAATATGACAAATAACGAAAGAAGGGGCGCATATTAATGTGAACATTTTTATGGATGACCTGAATGCTAAGGAAGGATCATAACACAGGAAGAATGAAAAGGAAGAATTATTCACCAGTTTTTGTGCAGAGAATGAATATGTTAATAGCAGAAACATTTCTCACATAAAAGAAAACAAGGCAGTTTCTTTTGGGTTTAGCCACCACTTGAATCGACACATTTATGCCATATCTGTTTTACCTTGAGAACAGAAAACATTTTAAACCAAACCATTTGTCACATGCCAGTGGGTTTTTCTTCAGTGTGAAAATAATTTTCTTTCTGAGTTATTTAGGTTGGGTGAAAAGAGATCCTAAGGATGGATAGTGTTAATGTTTTTAGTATTTATATCTTTGGCTGCTAGCTTTGCAAGCAATGCTTTGTAAAGAGGACACTGTCTTGAAGCTGATCATTTTAGCTGGCCCTTAAACAGTCTTGTTTTAATCCCCGTAGTGGCAGATTTGTTGCCTTCAAAGTGGACCTTGATTCCTAGATTGCCCTAGCCTAAAATGGGTACCTGGGAAGTAAGAGCGGTCAGAGTTGTGCAGACATTGCTCCCACTGATTGCTGTGTGGTCTTTTAAACAAAAAATATTAGTAGCATCATTTGCCCAATGTGTAAGGGTCCTTTCAACAACAAAATTCATGAACTTTTTAAATCACTACTGACTGATCACTGGCATCATGAGAGCTAATAGACTGAAATGGTTGGGGCATATTGAAAGAATGTCAGATGACAGAGAAGTAAAAACTGTTTACATGAGGGAGATGAATGGTCGTAGACCACGAGGCAGACCAAGAAGACAATGGAGAGATAATGTCCAGACAGACCTGCAAACACTTGATTTCACCAACTGGAAAGAGAAGGCCAACCAGAGAGATGAATGGAATCGAGTGATATCTGCAGCAATGGACCTCAAGGGCTCGAAATGCTGAAGAAGAAGAAGTAAGGTTCCTTTAGTTTATTCACATAATCTAGTGTATGTGCAGTGTTCAGCTCATATCTCTACAGCATTGTTTGCTATTGGTTTGCATGTTTATTTATTTAACTATTTGCTCTTCCTTTCTAACCCTGGGTTTAATGATATAGTTAGTACTTGATTTCTCCTCCTGCTGGTTTTGGAGGGAAAGAAGAGGCCCTGTTTTGTCTTTGATGAATTGCTCCTGCCATTCAGGCTGACTCACATGCCATCACTTCCTGATGCAAAGATGTGTGCCAGAGTGATTGATCATATTCATTGACTTCCCCCATATAAGAATCGGTGTCAAGTGCCTTTGAAATCCTTTTGTGTAGGGAAATAGTTTATGATTTCAGATCTGTCATTAGCTGTACATTTGCAGGCAGATATGTATAAATACAATTATATATTTTGAACAGTTTGCTAACTCTAAATTATGTTATAAATTTGATTTTGTTTAGGTTTTTGGAAAGGTCAAGAATGGAGAAGGTTTGGCTTGGTACCCTGCCAAAATAAAAATATTGAAGGGGGAGTTTGTTGTGGTGTCTTCACCTTGGGATGCCAGTGACATTTTGCCACTTGACAAGATCAGGCCTGTCAATTTGAAGTGAGTCCTTTTTTGTGTGTTTTATTTGCAAAAGTATTATACTTGTCTGATTTTGATGGTAGTCAGTGCACGCTACATTGAATGAGTCTTGCCACGTGTAGTTGCGTTGCATTAAAGCAGACTCCAGAGCATATCTTGCAAGAATGCCCAGACTTTACCAGTTAGAAGAAGTGTGGTTCATAGGGGCGACCCTGGAAGACCTCGAGAGTAACATCCTGTTTATGACCCAGATTGGAATAGATGCATACAAATATTGACTGCTGAAAAAGAAAGGTGGCAGGTAAGAAAGAAAGAAAGACAGGGTCTTTTTTTTGGGAACATCAGATGATATAACAGGTTATTGGAAGGGAAAATAATGGCTAAAGAGTAATAAAGATATGTGTAGGTAGTACCTATCAAGATGGGATTAATTTAGCACAGGGGCAGAGAACCTTTTTTTTTCTCTGCCAGGGCCATTTTTATATTTATAACATCATTCACAAACCACACCAAATTATCAACTTGAAATGCATATTTTTCAGCATTCTGAACCCTTGAGGGTGCTAATATTGACATTATTCTCTGTGATTGACCTTCGCTTTCCAACTGGTGTCTCCAAGTGTGTACACCTACCTTTATATTGTCTCGCCACATCATCGTGGCCTGCTTTCATTCAACTCTTTTATGTATGCAGTCTGCTATCTCATTTTCTCTATATGCCACAGCCATTGCAGTCTGTTAGCCCTCATGATGTCAGTAGAATGTTAAATGTTGAATTAAGAATCAACATCACAGCACTCAGGAAACTCCCATAAGTGCTCAGTCCCCATTTTCAGCAACAAGCGAAAAGTTCCAATTCCGATAGTACCAGTAACTGTATATGTATATGTCTCATCCTTCCCCTGTTGCCAGTAACTAATGTTGCTTGTAACAAATTAATGAATTTAAATATTTGCCTACTACATTTGGTCAGACATTTAATTTACTCACCCCTAAATTATGTACAAACTATCGAACTATTGCCCTGATCAGTCATGCAAGTAAAATTCTACTAAAAATTATAATGAGAAGACTGCATAAGAAAATGGAAGAAGAGATTAATGTGGCTCAGGCTGGATTTAGACAGGGAAGAGGAACAAGAGATCATATATTCAACATGCGTTTAATAATAGAGAAGTGTAGAGAATTTAATGTAAATCTGTTCTTATGTTTTGTGGATTATTCAAAAGCATTTGACTGTGTACAACATCAGTCAGAAGCTTTGGGAAATCATGAGGAATATGGGCTTTCCATCACATATAGTGCAGCTCATTAAAATGCTCTATCAACTCACCAAAACAGCAGCAGTCAGAATAGATGGAGAGACATCAGACTGGTTTGGCATCAAGCAAGGAGTCCGTCAGGGATGTGTGCTGTCACCGTATTTGTTCAACCTGTACGCCGAAAATATAATGAGAAATGTAAGAGATGATATAAACAAGGAACAATATGATGCCCTAAACATCGGTGGTCATGAAATACCAGAAATTCGTTATGCTGATGATACAGTATTACTATCAACATCACAAAATGGTTTAGGAAACTTATTAACCTCACTCCAAAGAAATAGCGAAAATCATAACTTATTTCTTAACATAGCAAAAACAAAGATAATGCATACAAACAAAACTGCCATGGAGAAGGAAATATATGTTAATGAGGAAAGATTGGAAGTGGTGGAAAATTTCGAATATCTTGGGTCACTGGTTACCAACAATGGTGACACAATGAAAGAAATTAAACGGCGACTATCAATTGCTCTTCAAAGACTAAAAACAACTGAATAAATTATGGAATTGTACAGATAGAATTACAGAGGTCAGATTTTTAAGGCATGCATCTTTCCCATTGCAACATACGCCTGTGAGACCTGGACACTTACTAAACAAGCGGAACAGCACATAAATGCATTTGAATATAAATGTTACAGACAGGTTCTAAGAATATCTTGGGTAAAGAAAAGAACAAATGCATCCATACTTCAAGAGCTGAATATTGAAGAGGGTTGGCTAGTAAAGACAATAAAACAAAGAAAATTGAAATATTTTGGTCACTTGAAACGTCATGGAAGTCTAGAGAGAACAATAATGGAGGGGTATATGCCTGGGAAGAGAGGAAGAGGAAGGCCAAGGAGAAGATGAGTGCAGGATGTGGCAGATGATCTCCAGATGGGTGTATCAGACGCAGGACATCTTGCTCAGGATAGGAAGGTTTTCCGGAGGGTTGTTATGGCAGCGAGGTTCCGCGAGGGACATGCTACTGAATGAATGAATGTGAAGGCTGGAGCTGCTTCTCTTTATTTAGGCATGTGATGTTAGTTGGTATTAATGGTGTGTTAAATGGAGTTAATGATGTTGATACTTGCAGCTGCTTTCCCAGGTTTGTGTTGATCAGTCTGGAGAGCCAGGTGAAATGATTTTGCAGGCTGGATGATTTCCTCTCTTTTCTAGTAAAGTGTTAAGTAAAATAAATCAGGACAGAAACTGCTCTTTGTGATTTGCTTTTGCTCTAAATTTCTTCAGTCAGTTATTGGCTGTCTCCCCATGAATGTTTTGCAAAGGATCTTCATCACTGTCTGTCTCAAGCTGTTTCTACTCACCCAAACTCTTGTTCACTTATCTCTTCATGCTATCCTCCCATTGTTTTGTCACTGTCTGCTGCTTACTCTGCTGTCCATTTTTCTTTCTTCAAAGTGTAGACTCTTAATCTGGCAGAAATATTTCACTTGTCTTGTTTTTATGTCTTTAAATGTTGCTTTCTCTTGTTTAATGTAGCAATCTTGGAATATGATTGCATCTGAAATGTTTTTCTTGTTTACAGCCCACCAATTACTAAGGAGTCATTCTTTCAATTTGTGCTTGAAATTCCGCCAGATTTGAGAGAAGGGTAAGTATCCTTTTGTTGATTCTTTTGAAGTTGTGTAAAAAATGTCATGTGTTAGTAAAACTACACCCACTACCCCTGGCAAGAATGTCATAAAGGGTGTAAATAGCACAGTCATGACACAGTGTTTGTAAACCACAATGCAACATGCCAGTTGCCGTTTTAAGGGTGTCGTCGTGTTTGTATGTTGTCTCTGGCTCATCTTAGGTGTTTGGTTAATAACCTCCTTGATTGATTAACAGTGCACAAACTCATAACGTGCTTAATAATCCTCAGTACAGGCGTTTTTTTTGGGGGGGAGGCCATACATTTTTACAGTTTCCAGTGGGAAGGCCTATTTTAGCCTAAACTAAACATTCTCTTAGGATTTTTGATATCATTCAGGTCCTCTTCTTTAGGGCTCTGCAGTTCCTACCAGCATCCAAGCCCTCTTGGTCATTACCCACAGTTCGTGCTGGCTGTAGTTTCAACTTGCCTCTGTGAACCAAATTGGCAGCAGTCAGGGGCTTCATACGTTACGCCACCCTTCTCACATACATGATGCTTCGCCAGTAGAGACGGCACCCTGTGGACTGAGAGACAGATGCTGATTCTAATGTGGGTCAGAAAGCACTGGAAACATAGATAGCAGTGGATGCAGGAAGCCTCTTTCTTTGATGGTTCTTCTTCTTTATGTTCACTTGCAGTAAACTCCGGTGGAAAGTTCTTGGTGTTTGTCCACCTCTGGATATTAGTCGTGTTCCAGAACCTGAGTATTGCATGCACATTCATTTTACAGATCTGACTTATTTGTCTGCAGACTGAAGGTTCCTTGCCTCTCAGGTCAGATGCAATCTGACTTAAAAGAAGCTCCCAGTCAGACTTTAATGACATGTATGCTAGGGACTCAGTGAGTCTATTCTCATTTACCCCACAATGGGGCTCGGGAACCCATAACATCACCTAGTAAAACCATCCAATAATCATCCACTATTGGGGTTCACTTATGATGTCCTGTAAAAGGATACGCAGCTAACCCTAACTGCAGTTCACATTTCTCTTGTTGGCATGTGCCAAAGAATTATTGTTATTGGGAAGTAATCTTCTCTGTTTGTCCATTCAGATGTCAAGAGGAAATGGCAGTTCAGGAGTTCCGCAAGCACATAGGTGGCGCTATGGTCACTTACAGTCCAGAAGACAAGTCGTTGCATGTTCTTGTAAGTACTTCATGTGTGATATCTTCTTTGTGTTAACCGGCTGTAAACTCTGATGGAAAATTCTGGTCATTTCTATACTTTGGTCTTGTTCCAGGACTGGAGAATGCCTGCACATCCAATTTACTGTTCTGAATCATTTTTTATGTTCTGACTGTTGGTCCTTACCGTCAGGCCCAGGTTGGAAACCTGTTTCTAGAATGATTGTGGAAATAGATCTTGCAGCAATTGGGAATCCATCTCCTTCTTTATTAGCTTTGTGAATATACGAGTAACTCTGCTGTTAAAAAACAAACACACAACAGCAACAGGAAAGAGTTTACCTGGTGGTGGTGCTTTTTGTTTTTGCTAACACAAAAAAACATAGATATCCAATGACGTATTTGTATTGGTTTATAGGAAAGTCTGTACGCATAGAAACTACCAATGACCCAGATGCAAACGAGCTCTCAGTAGGTTGAACCCAGAAGTATTCTTCTCTGCAATTTGAGTTTTTACTCATCAAATTACAAAGATTTTGAGTGTCAAAATTATACTTTCAGTAGCTATGCTTTTAAAAGAAATAAAAACTTGTAAAACGTCGGTTAGATAAAAAAATTTTAAACAGGTATAGAGAATATATTTGCGATAGGACCTTCAGGTTTAAGAAAATAGAGACAGGCAAACAAAACACAAGAAAATTAGAGAATGAGTTGAAACAAATAGTAAAGGATTGAATGGCTTAGCACTAATTGCTTGGCGGCCTATACTTTGTTGGCATGAAATGGGTAGGAAAAAAAGAACAATTGGGAATCAGTGGGTCATCGTCACTCCACCGTCTTTACTTCTCCGAACCTTTCCTGTACACATTTTAGACTGAGTGAATCTGGAAACCAGGTCAGTTAAATATTCCACTTGTGTCCATCGCCTGGTAGGCAAATATGCTAACCACTGCACTGCTGCGGCTGCCATTTCATGCTGGTAGGGAAACTGTGTTTCTTCTTTGTTAGCTTGCACTTCATTATGTCTATTCCCTACGGGTAATGTGTTCAGTATTCACACTGTCAATCTTTACCTCCCAAAACATTTTCTTTACCCCTTTTAGGCTGGGTAGATCTGAGAATCCAAGTCAGTTTAAAAGAAAATCCACTTTGATGCATCTTTATTTCTGAGAGAGTAATTTCCCCTTATATTTTAAAATAGAACCATGAACTTGTTGTTTTGGATATATCCTTTCCTTTGTGAGTTTAGGGCCTCTGGGGGGGGGGGGGGGGGGCGGCAGAATAGACCCACTGCTTCTTCTTAACAAGCATGTCAAGAAAGACGACTAGTTAAAGATTTAATTAAATCAGATATGCTGGGCCAGTAGGTAGAGATATCACGGCCTAGCTGTATTTTGTTAACATTTTTGTATATTTGTCTCTGAAATTATGTTTCCTATGTGTTGTCAGTTTTCTTAATCAGTACTCTCTTGACAGAGCACAAGCCCAGCCGTGATCAAGAGGGCTTCCATGATTGGGGACATGTTTCTCCGAAACATGAGGCAGAAAGTTCTGCTGAAGCAGCGTACAGAGGAAGCGGTGAAAAAACTACAGGTGACTTAAGAATTCGTTCCTGTGTATCCATGTCCTATAAGTTTCCACACATAGGATTAATATACATATCTTCTTCTTCTTCTCTACTCCTGGAATGCTTCACAGTGTCAGGGTAGGAAGAGAGATCGGGAACTGACCCGTCTTTTTGCTTTGTGTATTGTACTTTTCAGTGCCTGCAATATTTCTGCCGCCCATCTTCTGTGCGGTCAACTTCTGGCTCTGCTACCGCTTCATCTGTATAACATTGATCTCTGTGGTGCCCTGTCTGCGTCAGTCTTGTTACAAGCCAAACCGTAAACTTATCACCAAAACCATTATATGCATACTTTAAGCTGTGCTTATACTTGTTTTTTTTTTTTTTTTTCAGTTGTGGAGGATAAGCATTGAAGTATGTTATCAAAAGAATGGTAATTTTTCTATGTATGGGAACTTATGGGGCACCTTGTATAACTATGTATAAATAGTAATAAAGGAGCCTTGGGATTGAGTTTACTGTGACAGACCATATGATCAGTCACAGTATATAGACCTCTGGCAAAAACAGCTCTCTGGTGGAAAGCAGATGGGAAAAGGAGACGTGGACGATCTAAGGAAACCTGGAGAAGGACAATAGAACGGGATCTTGCCGTCTCATCCTCATAAATACCATCATTGATAGCATTCAGAAAAATACACCAAATTCCACTTTCACAGTACAAACGCACATGTGGTATAAAATAACACACAATATGAAGAAAGGTCACCTACGTCCACACACACACATCCCCTCTATCTACTGACTGAGAGGCACTGACTTTGACACGGGTTCACCTTCAGCGGCCGGTCACAAGTGGGTCTGCCAATCCCTGAGGATACCGTTGTTACTGGTTGATCTCTAGAAACGTCTCACAACTTTAAGTAACCTGAACCTCATCATCAGGTGTCTTGGCGACTAGCGTGGGCGATGATGCCTCTGACACACTTGAACACAGAAGTGAGTTCAGCACACAACAGAGTTTTGTGCTGAAAATGCAGTTTTAATCTGTCATGTTATTCACACCCTGGAGCCTCAAACTGTGTTTGAAAATATGTTTACTTGTTTGTTTCTAGAGCACCAAGATTCGCTCCGGGCACATGGAAGAATTCCGAGTACAGGACGAACTGATGGGGTTAGCCATTGGCACACATGGAGCAAACATCCAGCAGGCTAGAAAGGTGGAGGGCATCACAGGCATTGAGCTAGACGAGTCAACTTGTACCTTCAAAGTCTATGGAGAGGTAGTTTTATGCTTCTGTTTGTGCCTTCTGTCCTTCATTGGAGAAATGTCTTTAACCAGCACATGCCTGACCATTCGATTCCTGAAACCTGCCCTGCTGATTCCTCTATTCTCATCATATTATTATTATTTTTTCCTTTGTGGTCAGGTCTTGATCTCTTTTAATATAGCCTTCTTTTTGTATATATTTGTCTCTAATTCTGCTTCTAAATGACATTTGTTTATGTGGGTTATTTTATCCCCCATTGGAGAATATGTCTTTAGTGAACATATGCCTGGCCATTCTATCTCTTGTATCCCCTGCAACTGCCTCTGAATTCTTGCCATGTTTTATTATTCTTTTTTTTTCTTTGTCAGACCTTCATCTCATCTAAAATATCATTCTTTCTGTCTGGATTGATCTCCATGTGTTTTCATTTTTTTAATATGTTTTTTTTTACTATGGATATTTTAAATATTGTATTTGTCAAACCTTAAAGGCTAGATTCCTGCACAGTTTTCTCCCTAAGACTCGGTTCACCACTTATTAAGAGAATTGTCATCATCATCGTCAGGTGCCTTGCCAACTGGCGTGGGCGATCATGTATCTACACAATCCACGATCTTCTGCAGCATGTATCAGTTTGTGTGTTGACACACCTCCATGCCATGCAACAAGACTGTCAAGAATCTTCTCTCATTGTGTAACTCTAACCCTCCTTCCACAGATCTTTCCAGCAGTCACAACATGTTCCTTTTTTCCTCTTCTCATAACAGTGCCGAAAAATTATGACTGTCTCCTTCTGATGTCTGTGATATGTTGTCTTCGGGCTCCCGTCTCTTTCAAAACTTTTTTTTTTTTTGGCTGTCCAAGGAATTTTTAGCATTCTTCTGTAAAACCACATCTCTGAGGCCTCAAGAAATTGTTTGGCCCGCCTACCGATTGTTCAGGATTTACCGCCATATGTTAAAACTGGATGTATGTAGCAAGCAAGAATTCTTTTTCTAACCTTCAATGACAGAGATATATTGCATAAGATGTTCGTCGTTTTATAAAATGCAGTTTTGCCTGTCTTATTCTGTTTCTTATCTCAGCAATGCATCTTCCATCTGATGTTATCCCTATGCCCAGATACTTGAATTTCTGTACTTGTCCCAAAATAACACCATTGACTTTTATTACACATTTAGGAATAAATCTTTTCTTTGATACCACCAATACTTCTGTCTTTTCATTATTCAAGAGAAGTATAGTTTACCATATTCAGAGTAATGTGATAATTTTCACCTCAATAATTTTTATTACATTAGCAATGATATCAGATACTGAATATGAATTATGTACTTGCGCTCCAGTGAATGAAAATCGAGGATGAATCATGGTGCACGGAAAAATGTTGGCCAAACGGGCAAATTTTCTAAACTGTGGCAAGTGTAATAATCATGGGTGTGGATGATCTAGAACAGGTGAATGAGAATGATGATTATTTAACGCCTGGAATGATCGAGAATGATCAGTTGTGGGTTCAGTCTTGTTCGAGTCTGTCGATTCTGGTACAGTGTGGCTGACGAAGCAAGTCCTGAATGAATCTAATTGCTAGCAAACACTTGTACCTGAATTTGGCTGTGAGTTTCCCTGGAATCCTGGATATGCTGTCAAGCTTGGACGTGGTCGGCTGCTGTCAGTCTGGATGGTTGTGAATGTCAAAGCATCTGTGTGGATTGTTCTGTATTATGCACCAGAGGTAACAAGGTATTTGATGAATTCAGCTAATGCTGTGTCAAGCGGCCGAACTTAGTTACCCTAGATGTGTTTTTCTCTTGTGTGCACTGGCTGACAAGTCAGCTCTGTGTCTGAATGTATAAAACCATTGACAGCTATCACCTGTGTGTTGTTCGCAATCTATGTTATTCAACCTATTGAGTTATACATTGGAAAAGTCTGCAACTATCTAGAGCCAGAGACTGAGAAGAAAGAGAGTCATTACACAGACCAAGGACAGGGCATTACAGATTACACTAACATATGTACAATTTTTGTGTGTGTTAGAAACACGGAGATGTGTCCCAGAAACTTAGAGCCTGAAAATGTTGAGCATGTACTCCAGTGCTGCTGACTATGCTGCTACTCAGAGAAGCTATCTGACCTTGTTCCATATCCATCAAGACAGAAAGCTGTAGTGCACACAGAGAGAGTCGAACTGTGCAATAGACTTCATCAGGGCCACTGACCTCCATATATATATTTTCTGACAGAATAATCAAAGAAGAAATCTTTATCTCTTTTAAAATAAATAATATTAAAAAGAATTTTTTAAATGTATGTGTGTGTAAAAAATGTTTTTTTTTTAAATATTATTTTTCAAGCATCTATAAATACTGACAACAAACTCTTACTTTGTTTTTTTTTTTCTTTTTATTTATATTTTCCAAGCATCCATAAATACTGACAATAAACTTACTGGTTTTTTTTTTTAAATATTATTTTTTCAGGCATCCATAAATATTGACAACAAACTGTTACTTTATTTTTTTTTATCTTAGACACTGGAGGCTGTCAGATCTGCCAGGGGTTTACTGGAGTTTTCTGAGGAGACATTTCAGGTGCCTAGAGATTTAGTGGGTGAGTAGTTTCTTTCTGCATCATAATCTTAGAAATGTAGTTTTCAGCTTGAGGTACTTTTCCACTCACATCACTCAGTGGTCAGTTGATGCAAAGTAACAGTTAATTAGTAAATAGTCTTTCACTTGTGGGTTCTAGACCTCATTTTGTGGGGCAAAAGAATAGCATCGATCTGCCCCACCCATTAGCAAGCATATTAATATGGGCGATTAATTTAGGACTTTATAAAATAGAGGGTATTGGGCTGAAAGGCACAAACATTGCAGCTTAGCATCATTCCACAGCTTGCCAAACTGCCTTTTTTAGGAAGAATTCAGAAGTAGTTAAATAGTCTAAATTGGAGAATGATGGGAAAAAGATGGGGAGGACATCCTAGCGATGGTGAGCAGCAAATACAGATAGGACGACTTGGAATGAGTCTTTCCGTGTGTGTTCCTGTGCTCTGTTTTGGACAACAAACAATAGTCCCACTGCCCGCCTAACAAGTATGTCAATAAAGTCTGCTTCTTCATGTTCAACGGCTGTGAACTACGGCAAAAAGTTCCAGTCGCCCACTTCTGGACTTTGGTCTTGTTTCAGAGCCTAAAGTTTTTATAAAAATCCACATGTTTAGATTTGGCTTATGTATGTGCAGACTGTTTGTTCCTTGCCTCTCAAGCAGATGCACGCTGAAGTTGACTAATTGGGGATGTTTACTTTAAAGTTGGAGTGTGCCTGCCAGAGAAGTGCGGAACAAACAGTCTGCATACAAACAAGCCAGATTTGTAAAAACTGATGTGCAGGCAAACTCAGATTCTGGAACAAGTCCAAAATCCAGGAGTGGAAAAAAAACCCAGGATTTGCCAGGAGTTTGTGGGAGGCAAACATAAAGAAGATGGGATGAGTCGGTTGAGAGCCTATTCTTTATTGGGTTATAGAGGCTAAAGCATTGGTTCTCAACCTGTGGGTTGTGACCTCTTTGGGGGTCTCTGGGCTTAAGGAATGCGAAGAATTAATAATCTGGCAGCTTTATAGTGTAGAGCCTTTTTCACACTATTGGTACATCTGGCATATGATGCTTCTTCGTCTTTCCTCTTCTTCACTACTTCCTCTTCTACCGCTTCTGGTGTCGAGAGAGATTATAAGATTATATCTTTTTGGTCACTCTTTCAGCCCGTCTCAGTCATGTTATGTCCAGGGTTACTCATTTTCTTGTTTTGTTGTGAGTGACCATGTCTGGCACTGGTAGCATGAGATGGGAATGAACATGCTTTGTATGAGTTGTTTCTTTGGGCTGATTTGGATTGATTTGTACTGTAAAAAAAAGGGGGGGGGGGGGGGTAGCTGTCCCAGTACTTGGTTTGCTGCATGGGATTTTTTTTTTATTTTTCATCTAATTTTTCGGTGATGTTGTTTCATCTAATTTGCACCTACTGCTATATTTATGGCTTATGGAGATAGATGCATATTGTGTACAGACCATTCATCACTTGATTAGTGATGTCTTATCTCACAATACCTTCTGCAAACCACCAAGTCGACTTGTCTCTATCCGAAAGAAAAACACCATCCGTTAATTTCGTTCAGCAGGGAACCAGCCCTGAGCTTCATACTCAAGTGGGCCCCACCTGATATAGGAATCGTGGGCCAAAACGCTAGTTGACAGATAATTTCCTGATTAGATCCCTGCTGTACTTGCTTCCTGTGAGTGATGTCAGCATCGTGTTAACTGCTTTTACCTCGCATGTCATTTTCAGGCTAGGTCAACTGTTGGCACAGGTAAATTATAACAATACTGTTTTAAAATTAAGAACTTTTGGCCATGTTGCTCTGTCATGACTCTAAACCTGCCAATTTATATTATCTAAATCTGTGCATCTTGAAGAAAATGCTAGTATTTTATTTTGTAATATTTGAAATTCAGTTCGTGAATAAATATATAGTTCATGATTACGCTTATTATAATTTTAAATGTCAATTCACCAGCCAAGGTTATCGGAAAAAATGGCCGCAATATCCAAGACATTGTTGACAAGTCTGGCGTTGTCCGAGTCAAGATTGAGGGGGACAGCGAACATGAGACTGAGAGATTGGAGGTATTGCTTGTTTTGCGGTTTGTTTGCGTAGGATTACCTTTGTTGTGAATACCTCCATAAAGTGCTCCAAGTTTTGTTTACAGATCAGCTGTTCTTTAGCATTCTGATTTTTTGAGATTCAGTGCTGCAGATATCAACCTGCCTCTGTTCTTGTGTGTGTGATTGGCCTTCTCTTTCCAGTTAATGACTCCCAAATATCTCTGTCTGTCCACATCTGTATTATCTCCCCACTACCATGATGGCAGTAATTAGTGGTGATTTAAACAGATTAATAATTTTGTTGTTGCTTCTCACTCTTGATTCTCCGCTGTTTGCATTTTTGAGGAGTCCAAAATTTGTCTTAAGACTGTTCTGAAAAATGGATCAGGTGTTACAGGTATTAAAAAAAACACATTAGGTAAAGAAAGTCCTGTAGCAGAGACTGCTGTTGGAGTATAAAGCGATAGACCTTTGCACATTCTAGACCAGGGGTTTTTAACCTGATGGTCACTAGGTGGGGCACAAAGAAGTGTCAAGGGTAGCATCAAGACATGAAAAAAATATTAGCAATTATAAAAAACAAAACAGCTGCCAGCTTGATATGGAGAGTGATCGTTCATTGTTCTTTGTCCAATAGTGGACTAGAAATAGCCGATATCATCAAGACAAAACAGTGTCAACCATCACATTGATGTTTGGATACTTAAATTACCAATCATCATGATTGTTTCCTTTATGTTATTTCGCACCCTGATTTGTGTGGATGTTTTTCCTCCAAAGTTCTTGCTAATGATGCTTGGGATTTGTCTTTTGTCCGCTTTATAATCAAATTTTTTTTTAATGTGGTGTAGTGATCATGCCACCTGAAAAAGGTTGAAAACCACTGCACAGGACTGCTGTCCGTAGGATTAACCCCCTCCTGGATGAGGATCAAACAAGAGATCCCAGAATCCGTGTTTCAACTGCATAACACGAACGAACGAACAAACTTTATTTTCAAAGGGTTACAAATTGGGCACGCAGGCCCGTCTGACATTCGGCCCTTCTCTGACAGTTATATTAGTCACGCAAGCACGCACACACACACCTCCCACTGCTTTGGAGTGACTTGCATTTCAGTGGCTTGACGGCTGCAGAGAAACTGGCCTTCACACTTGCCTATCTGCTCAGTAGTTTAGGTTTTGCCCCCCCCCCCCCCCCCCCCCCCCCCCCCCCCCCGATTTTTATAAAAACTACAAGTCCCCACATTTTTTCTTCTTCTCTTCTCTTCCTCTAGTTTCTTAAAGTAGAGTTTCTGAAAGATGCATAAAAAAAATTGGGGTGAAATGTCATTTTTTTAAAAAAAATGTTTACAGGGCGAAAAATTTAAAATAGCTAAACACTATTTCTCAAGACGGTCTCCAAATATTAGAATAAGTAAGGACCAAGTTACGCAACACCGGGTCTTATGATTAATCTTCTTTACCTGTTCATAACAACAGAACAGTAGTTTCTTTTAGTTTCAGATTTTAAATTGACATTGGTTACTCACTGCCAAAAAATCATGTGATCTTTGCAGGGCCAGGTGCCATTTGTGTTTGTTGGAACCAAGGAGAGCATCAGTAATGCTAAACTTCTGCTGGACTTTCATCTGGATCACTTGCAGGTCAGTGTGCCAACGTGGCAGAATGTTCACCAGTGTATGGCCATTTATTTCCTTCTTCCTCTCCTCTGTTCATTCCTTTCTTCCTCTCCTCTGTTTTTTTCCCCCTCTCCTCTGTATGTTTCTTTCTTTTTCCCACTTCTTTTGTTTTCTTTCTTCTACCCACTCCTGTGTATGTTTATTTATTTCTGCCACTCCTCTCCCTTATTGAGGAATATTAATTGGAATGCAAATGTTTGTTTCTTTCTTCCTCCCATGGTTCCACCCTAGGGCATATTGATCAGTATACAGATGTTTCTTCTGTCTTCTTTTCACAGTTTCACCCTAGAGTATGTTTTTCAGCAAGCAGATGCTTCTTTCTTTCTCCCTTCCATAATTTCACCCTAGAGTATGTTATTCAGCAAGCAGATGCTTCTTTCTTTCTCCCTTCCATAGTTTCACCCTAGAGTATGTTATTCAGCAAGCAAATGCTTCTTTCTTTCTCCCTTCCATAGTTTCACCCTAGAGTATGTTATTCAGCAAGCAAATGCTTCTTTCTTTCTCCCTTCCATAGTTTCACCCTAGAGTATGTTATTCAGCAAGCAGATGCTTCTTTCTTTCTCCCTTCCATAGTTTCACCCTAGAGTATGTTATTCAGCAAGCAGATGCTTCTTTCTTTCTCCCTTCCATAATTTCACCCTAGAGTATGTTATTCAGCAGAGAGATGCTTCTTTCTTTCTCCCTTCCACAGTTTCATCCTAGAGTATGTTATTCAGCAGAGAGATGCTTCTTTCTTTCTCCCTTCCATAGTTTCATCCTAGAGTATGTTATTCAGCAGAGAGATGCTTCTTTCTTTCTCCCTTCCATAGTTTCATCCTAGAGTATGTTATTCAGCAGAGAGATGCTTCTTTCTCTCTTCCTTTCACAGTCCCTCCCTAGAGTATGTTATTCAGCAAGCAGATGTTTTTTTCTTTCTTCCTCCCGTGGTTCCACACAAAGGTATGTTATTCAGCAAACAAATGCTTCTTTCTGTCTTTCTGCTACTTCTCTTCTACACAAGAATGTTTAAGTCAGCATACAGTTTCTGTTTTACTTTTTCCCACTCTTCTCCCATGAGACAGGGATGTGCTGATCAGAGTTAAATGTTTCTTGTTCTCTCCTGCACACTCCTTTTCTCTATTTAAGAGTGTTAATCAACAAACATGTTCTTCTTTCCTTGTCTTCCCCTCACCCTCTTCCATCTTTACAAAATGCATCCTAAAAGGCCATCATTGTGTAATTATATTTTAGGAAGTGGAGCTGCTTCGTCAGACCAAACTAGAGATTGATCAGCAGCTGAAGTCACTGTCAGGACCTCAACCAGGCACTTACTTCCCACCACCTCGAAACACAAGATGGGGGTAAGTACTTTTACTGTATCACTGAACTGTCTCAAGTGTTGTGTGCCTGATTGTGTCCAATACCTCATGCATAGGTTCAGGGCTCCCATTTTGAAGGAAACAATTGATCCGTTGCCACCCTTATAAAATGTATGTCGGAGAAGGCGACTAATTAAGGTTTTTTTCGCCCCCTTTAAAGTCATAGTGTATTTGCGTGACAGTCGAGGAACCAGTCTTCTTCTTCTTCGTTCTTCGCGTTCACCAGCTGTAAACTCTGGCGGAAGGTTTTGGTTGCTCGTCCACTACTGAACTGCAGTCCTGCTCCAGAACCTGAGTGTTGCGTGCGCATCAGTTTTACAGATCTTATTCTCTTGAATACAGACTGTTGGTTCCTTGCCTCTCCGGCAGATGCACTGCGACTTTAAAGGAAGCTCCCCAATTAGTCGACTCTTACGACATGCTTTTGGGGAGGCAGTGGGTCTATTCTTGTTTTCCCCACAATGGGGCCCCGGAACCCACACGGGGGGTGGGGGGGGGGGGGAACCTGTGTTCTGCATACATATAAGCCAGATCTGTATAATGGGTGTGCATGGAAAACTCATGTGCTGGAACAAGACCGAGGTAGTCCATGAGCTGAACACTAAATGTACATCATGCCCCCCCCCCCCCCCCCCCTATATCGAGCACAGGCCTTCAGCAAAATCAAGCTGATGTCCTATTTATAGCCATCACATACATTTCACCCCATGCCCTCTGTCTCTTTTCTGTACCTTATCTATTTATTCTTTTAATCTGTGAGTCCCAGTGTGCGGATTGTCATATAAAGCGACCCCAAAAAAAATCCAGTTTATCTTAGGGCAATTGTTTTTGAAAGTTTTTTTTTCCAAAACAAAAAGCAGAATACGTTATCTGTTTCAATGAGCAGATTGGTACAGCGGGGTATTAGCAAGAGAGAACAGTGTCAATCATCAAATTGATGTTTATTAAAACACTTAATTACTAGTTGTTTGGTGATTGTTTCTTGTATGTTATTTGGCACTGATTTATCTGGATGATTTTTTTCCTCATTCTTGTTGGTAGTGCTTTTTTTTTTTTTTTTTTTAATCCTCTTTTTTTCTAAAATGCATTTTTTAAGGTTGTGTGTGGGGGGGGGGGGGGGGGGGGGGGGGGGGGGGGGGGGGGGGGGGGGGGTTGTATGTGTTTTGTCATATATTTGGGAGGTGAGGGTGTTTTGCCATATATGTGAAGGGGGGATGTGTTTTTGCCATATATTCAAAAGTGGGGGGGGGGGGGGGTGTTTGCCATATATTCAAGGGAGGGCCAAGCCAGAAAAAGGTTGAAAACCACTGACCTGGAGTATCAAGTAGTTTTTCTAGGGGTCATCACTGTGTCATTGTCTAACTGATTAAGCTGTTTGCCTTGCACTGTAAAGGTTTTAGGCCTGGTTGTCGCCTCTGTTGTTCACCTCCTATGAGTTCCAAGACTGTTGGGGGGGGGGGGGGGGGGGGAAGGAGCTACCTCTCAACAAGCTAGTTGTTAGAATTAAGGGGGTTTGCTGAAATTGGTTATGTTGGGCAGACTAGTGCAGATAACACAGCCAGTCTGTGAACCACAACAGAAGATGTGTTCTCCAAAATTAAACTTTTTTTATTACTGTTTCCCAGGGACCAATTTGAAGACAGGCGGGGTCGAGGCGGGCGTGGTACAGGCAGAGGTCGTCGGTGGAACACAGACAGACATGGTACATACTGGCTTTTAAAAAAATCATATATTTACTTGATGTACACATGTGTTAATCAATATATTTTTTACTAATTGGCTTTGTAAAACTTTTTTTTTTTTTTAAATCATTTGAAGTCCCTTTTATGGGTTCTGTCGCACTTTGGTGGGGGGAAGGGGAACAAAGGTAACTAATTATGGGGTTTTTTCCGTTGACGCCGCAGTACATCTGCCTGAGAGAAATCAGGGGTTTGCACTGTGAATATCATTGGTTTGTTTCACGACTACGTGTCTAGTTGAATGCAGTTGTTTGTTTTAGATCTCGGAGAATCATATGTGAAGCTGCGGAGTTCGAGCTTTGTACGGCACCCTTAGGAGGTGGCTAGCAATAATGCATTTAAAAAAATTACTGAGAATGAGGTAAGAAAGACTTTGGTACAGTGGAGTCCTTCCTCTTGACTTTTTATAAGTAAGCCAGATTTGTAAAATGGCTGTGCACACAAAACTCAAGTTCTGGAACAAGATGAAAGTCTAGAAGTGGACGAACAGCCAGAACTTTCCACTGGAGTTTACAACTTTTAAACACAAAGAAAATGGAAAAGATCATTTGAAAGCTGTTGTGTGCTTTACTATTTATCCATCTTTAGACATGAGGAGAATCAATATCACTTAATCACTAATTGTGTTGCTGGGCTGATAGGAACGTGTTTCACCTTAATATTCATTTCCCCGTTTGGATTCCAGGGCACCGTAATGGGGAACAGACTCACTGCCTCCCCAACAAGCTTGTCGTAGGAGTCGAATAATTGGGGACTTCCTTCAAAGTTGGAGTGAATCTGCCCGAGCAGCATGGAACAAACAACTGCACACAAATAAGCCACTAAAATGGATTGTACACGCAAAACTGAGGCCCTGACATGAAGTCAAAGTCTATTTGAATGAACAGCCAGGACTTTCTGCCGCAGCTTACAGCGAGTTGATGAAGAAGAAGAAGTATCTTTTATGGAAGTCTTTAATGTCACTATAGCAGAATGTAATACTCATTAATGTGAGTTATTTCAGTCAACGTCACTGCCTATTGGTTATTCATTCCCATGCTTGCTGAGTGCTCTGTCAGCAGATCCTTAGGTACCTCTTCTATTTTCCCATGAATAATTGATTATAGTATCCTGTCTTGACCCCAACTGTGGCCTAGACATGCTTCACCAAGCTGTGCTTCCAAGGTCACATAATGGTGTTAGAATCAGAAACTCGTCATTACCCACCAACTTAGTCTGTAACAGCATTGATGTATTACAAAAGAATAAACAGACTTTATTTTGAGAGGGTTACAAATTGGGCACGCAGGCCCGTCTTACATCCGGCCCTTCCAAGCACTCATCTTTCAGACCACCATTGCATGTTATCAATAGTGCATGTTATGTCTACATAAAAATATACACAACCAAATAATACAAACACACTCAAAAATACACACTTCCACATACTCTTAGATTTCTTGAAATTCAATCCATTCATTTATTACCCTTTGCATGCATTAAGTGCGTAGGTCCCTGGTTTGGCATGTGGCAAAGTCCACCAGGCCAGCAGATGATTACACTAGGACTGCTGTAAAGTAATAACTTAGTGTCATTTGAAGATAACCAGATCAACTCTGACATTCAGGTGATGACTCTTCTATGCCTTCAGCCGCAGTGGGAGACTGGTCGGCAGAGGTCAGTGATGAGAGGAACCCATCAGGCTACGTCACAGATAGTGTGTTGAGCAGGCGCGGCAGGGGAGGTGGAAGAGGCAGGGGTGGCATGTCCTATCGAGATGCTGGTATGTTAATCTGCTGTGCAGTTGTCAGCAACCTTCATCATACTGTTTGCTGCCATTAGACATCACACAGGGTTCGTGTTGTCCTCCATTCTGCGCTGTCATTTTGATTTAATGGAATTCAGTTCAACACCTTTAATATGTCCCAGTAATATGTTCGTCCAAGGGTTTTTGCGTGCTCAGTCCATTTATTTCTCATTCCCGTGCCTGTTTGGTGATTCTCTGCTTCTCAGTCCATTTTTTTCCCATTCCCGTGCCTGTTTGGTGATTCTCTGCTTCTCAGTCCATTTATTTCCCATTCCCGTGCCTGATGGTGATTCTCTGCTTCTCATGATATGATCAGTATATGGCATCTTCTTTTTCTTATGAGTGACAGAAGCTGTTGTCCAGACAGTAATCACATCTCTTCATTTTTCTTGAATCGATCGTATTTAATGTTGATCAATTTCCTTGAGCACAGTCATCATCCTGTAGCAGGGCCGTTGCTGAACATATTCATAGAGTGCAGTGGGGCAACATCTTCTTACCAGGTCTTCTTGATCTTCACTCTTTTGCTCCACTTTTGTGGTTACATATATATATTATCATTTGTCTCGTGCTTTTGTGCTGTAAGTATTAATTGTTAACTCTATTCAACACAGAAACTTGGGGGGGGGGGGGGGGGGGGGGGCTTTAGAGCCTAGCCAATCCACAAAAGAATCCTTAAATAACTTTTTTTTAAAACACAGGTCACTAATAAATTGTAAGAAAAAAGTATGTTCAGGCGGTAAGCGCTCTGAATGAGTAGAAAGCATTCTAAAATCATGCTTAACCTCCCTCACTTGGATCTACACACCTGGTCTTGCTAGCGCAAAGGGTAATGAGCGATTGGACCAACTGGCAAGCAATGCAACAATGCATGTGGGAAGAAACATGGACAGAGCAGATATCATCAACGCTGTACCAACTGGGTTAGTGGATAATGACAGATCTCGGACACTAACATGATTGCATGACATGGGAGTAAAGCATGGTGAAGCATATCTATGCCGCTTTCGAGACCAAGATAGGAGACATTATAACCAATCCCTCATGGAAACAATTAGTAGAAGTACCTTGGAGTGGCTGCTGCATAGGAGGACTGAGCACGCATGGGAATGTGCAGTGACATCGACCATGATAACATAACATTAGAAGGTGGTTATAATTATGGCCTTTTAAGTCATTTCATATCATTTGTAATCTATCTCTGCATATTTAGTTTACTTTAGGATAGCCAGTACTTTTCGATTTTTTATGCAATGTATTTTCTTTTTTTAAATTTTAGGTAGGTACAATATTTTATTTACTATTTTTTAAAATTGTTATTTGTAATTCAGCTAACTTGAAGATAGCGATTATTTTTGTTTCTGTCTCTCAGGAAGGTATGATGATGAATCACAAGACCTGAGGTCACGCCGTCGAGTGACAGATGATGATGATACTGTCCTTGACAACGCTAGCGTAACAAGTCAGGACGGAGGTTGGTTGCTTGTATATTTTCATAGTAAGATGGCGGACATTTTCAACACTATATTTAGCTGGCTGCCGATAGAAAAGTGAACTGCAGCCTTTTCAGGTCGCCCCTCCCCCACCCCCGAGTATTTGACAAGACCTTCCCCCCCCCCCCCCTTTCCCCTTATGTATAAGGCAAGACTCCCCATCCACAACATAACAAAATGTGATTAGAAAGAATAGATTCTGCAACAAGAAAACAGAAAGTATGGAGATACGTTTTGATCAGAATGTGTTCTTAAACTGTAATTAAATGCACCTATCACATTAATTAGATTTGTAACAGTAGATGTACAAACTCCTCATGAAGGCACAAATATGCTTGTTGATTTATTTAATAAATAGTTGTTTGAAATATTTTATTTCTAGTTAAACTATTCAAAACATAAAGTAAAATGGATTGTTACAAGTACCAATGAGCTCACTTTCAAAATTGCTTGACGTCCACATGAAACCTCTATGCGCACTCACCCCCTCCCCCACTTTCCGTTCCGGGTTGGGTTAGATGAAATTACACGTGTGAGATTATGTGGCAAGAAAGGACGTAGGAAAGGTAGAGTATGATGAGCGGATGACCGCTAGGGTTTAAGCAACAGTCAGTCTTAAGACATTTGTTGCTGGAGGTGGAGCATCTGTGGCTATGCCTGGTATGTGATGATGTTGATTCTCAAATCAGCAAAAGTGATCTTCATAGTGTAGTGGTTGAACCACTTGCTTTACTCTCTGATGGTCATAAGTTTGGTTCTGGACTCTGTCCGTTAGTTCGTGTGTGCAGGAGTTGTTGGAAATCCCTGGGGTCATTACTTGGAACTATGGAGTGTGTGAAGAATGGATGACCCAAAGATTTAGGGTGCTGGCCTGCACACTTCATGGAACACCGATGCTGATCTGCAGCTTCCTTAAAGTCTCAAAGATGTGGTTTTATAGAATGATTGAAAATTCCTTGAAGCGCTTGAAACAGGCTAAGACCTAAAGGCTACTTATCAGAAAGAAGGGGGGGGGGGGGCTGCTACATTGTGAGAAGAGAAAGAAAACAGGAACATGTTGTGACAGCTGGGAAGATTATGGGAAAGAGTGATAGAGGAAGACAACACAAGAACATTCTTTACAGCCTTATGTCATGACATGGAAGGCTGTCAGCCGAGAAGATGATTTTTTTTGTTGATCCCAAGATGTGAAGCAGCATGGCCTTTACCTATACTCATTTTAGGCTGGTAGTTTGGAGCTAGTATCAATTCAGAAGAAAAAATTCAACTTGATGCGTATTCAAATCCAAGACCTTTGGGGTGGCAGGCGAGTATCTAGCCACTGCGCTGCCAGAACTCCCAAACGTGTGTTTAGGGGTATGTAATTTATTTAGTACTTTAATATTCAAGTCAGAGTACCGAAGGCATATGCTGTCACCTACCAGTGAGCCCCACTGCTAAGACACCCAGATGGCTCCCTTCCAGCGAAACAGCAAATGATTAATAGCATCTTCAGCCCTACTTTATGCTGTTGGTGCCAAACATAGGCAATGGATAAGGCAGTAGAACATGATTACCTGTGAAATGCGCTGTTTCCTCAAGGTCACTAACACAAGAAGGAACAGGGTGACGAATACCAGCTTTCAAAAGAAAGAATTAAATTGGCAGACAAAGACTTAAATGGTTTGCCATATAGTGAGAATGCAGCCAGGCCAAAAAGCAAACGAGACTTTGTACAGCAGGAAGGCGAGGGGAAGACCAAGAAAGTGAAATCTGTGAAAAGATAAACAAATCAACCCTGGAGCGTAAGATAAACACAGAAAACTATGATACTGGGCTTCAAACTGGTATCAGTGAGACGACAAAATAAGAATATTTTTTATTTGTTGAGTTTTTATAACACTTGATAATGATTTTATGTTATTTGAAAACAGATTATGATCAGGATCCCCAAAGAAGACCTCGGAGGAGAAAGAACAACCCTAGAGGAGCTGCTAGTGGAACTTCAGGCCCAGAGACAGACAGGCGCGTTTCCAACTACAGAAGAGATCACGTCCGGGGCCGAGGCGGCTACAACCACCGGGGCTATGAGTCGGAGTCTGGACATCCGGCCAGTGCTTCCATGCCTGGCGTACCCAGAGCTTCAGTCAGCCCGAGCAGACAGACTGTCAACGGAGGAAGCGGAGACTGGCCTAGCAGGCAGGAGTCTGGACCTAACGGACCACGCGACGTTCGCCCGCCAAGGGACAACCGTTCCAGAGGAAGGACCAATGGCGGACCTGCCATGGGAGGTGCGTCTCAGAATTTCAAAATGGCAGGGAATCATGTGGGCGGTAGTGAGGTCAACCCACAGTTTGCGGCAAACAAGGTCAACAACAGCAGCACCGTCAAGGAACAGTTAGTAAATGGAGAGTAATTGACTGATTTATCTAGGTAATAGCGTTTGTTTGTTGGGAGAATCCTTTGTGATTAGTTTGTACTCCATTTCAATGGTAGGAATAGAGTTTGTGTGTTAATTAAATAAGTTACCAATACAACCGGCCAGGATGGGACTGTACATTGATTTTGGCAGTACGTTTGGAAATAATCATAATACATATGGTGCACCCCACACCCCCCAAAGGTAAACATACTTAACTCTTTCACTATAGAGCAACTCATATGTTTATTGCTTTTATTTTACACATGGTTAACCCTTTAACCTAACTTCTCCGGACTCATTCTTCTGTTTCTCCAACATTGTTTTCCAGTTGTTTCTATCACTCATTCTGTCCCATAGTTGTATTATTTCCATCTCTTGAGACTTGGAATATTGCTCTAAAGCAGTGTCTCTCTTCTTTTTTTTTTAATGCGCCCACAGCACACCAAAATTGGAATTTGTTTCACGGCCCACCTAACAGCTAACCAGAGAGACAACAAAACACAAAAATAGATAGTAGTCACAGTTTTCAGCTGATGCCGAGGCGCTAATCCTGCATACAGATTGCAATTCGGGAAGAGAAAACTACCCCACTATAACCCTGTTAAATGATAAGGCAGAAAATGTTTCCGGCCCACCTGGACTTTTCCTCATGGGCCTACCAGTTGAACAACACTGTTCTAAAGTACACACACTCTGGGGAAGGCAAGTGTGGAAACCACGGCTGCCTAGGACTGAAAGAGTTAACAGATGTCATCTGTCCTGCTTTTTTCCCCGGAGTTAAAATTACATCAGTTCTTCTTTGTTTGCCCCCAAAAGGACGGTAGTGATGTTTGTGCCTTTTAACCCAACACATCTTTATTTAGTTGCCTTTTTACAACAAGCTTGCAAACTCTTTCATTACCAGCAGGTTTCACAATAACCAGTCATCGCGGAGGGTATACAAACTCAAAAATTGATGATGAATGGGTGTACCATAAACAGGTTGAGTTTGCTATAAACGTGAACAGTGTAAAAGCCAGATTGTTAGTATGCTCTGATCAAATGTAAAATAAAATAGAGAACATATTGAGCTATTGTTGGGATTAAAAGAGAAGATATCTTTACACATCTTGAATTGCCTGGTATCCAGAGAGAGTTTAGGAAGCAGGGGGTATTTCTCCCCTCCTCCCCCCCCCCCTCCCTGTGGGGCCCCAGAACCTACATGGGGGACTACAGCAGTGTATAGAATGATATTTTCCATGTTGTTTGTTGTATGTGAATCTGCAACAGTGGCCAGATTGCAAGAATGATATATTAAAAGGGGTGTGGCCAGACTAGCACTATGAAGGATGCCAAAGAAGAATAAGAAACTAACACAGAACTGGTGTTGTCAGCCGCTGCAAGCTGTAGGATTGGCTGAGGAGGCGATCCTAGCACTTTTGGAATGAATGGTTCGATGTGCAATGAGGATAATCTGTCGACTAACTAATGTTGTTTGCTACATGAATGCAATACATGCATCACAGCTAATATTGGGAAGATATTGCATCTGCATGAACAACAAGCACACTGGACACTGACAATATTTTCCCTAGTAATAGTTCAGTTATATTCAATGCTAACCAACGAGGAAGGTAACCTGGTAAACAAATGACAGATGAAGTCGAATGTGTCGGCTGAATTGGGCAAACATTGCAGCTATTCTGCAGATGGGCATAATGCAATTACGTTGCTCAGATGAACGATGAAGAAGAAGAAGATAATAAATTTCTGGATGTTAATGGTAACCACTTTGAACAGCCCATGTAGTTTCAAAAGACAGAGACGACTTGTATTCATTTCATTCTGTAGCTCCCCATAAAAGGGCGGTCGACATGTTTTGTTGTGGTTTACAGCTAGGCTAGATTTCAGCACACGCCTAGTTAGTTGCCTTATACAATATGGGGAGGGGAGCAAAGGGGCTATTTTCCCCACGCCGAATGGAGTCTTGGAGCCCTGATATCTGTCATTTTAGTATTATACTTTTTTTCTTTCTGAAGTGCGTTTAGATTGGGGGGGGGGGGGGGGTGTATATTTGGCAGATCCGCTAGGGTGAACTAAGTAAGGGTGAATGCTAGTTCTAAAATTTTTGATTTGGACTGGGTAATTAATGTGCATAAAACATACCACAGATTTTGATTGGGAGTACATTAGTAGTCGGAGTATGTGGCTTCAGGGTTATGACCCCGATTGATAACTGCAAAATACTTGGTTCAGTTTTGACAGCCATAAGTAGTGTCGACGGTCAGAAAGCAGTGACAAACTGCCTCATTCAAAATTGCCAAATAAAACCACAACCACCTAACAAATGCTGCGGCTAGTTTTCAACATCTAGTAAAGCAAGGCTATTCAAACCTGTAGCCTCCAGACGACCTTATAAGTGGCCAGCGGATAATTGCTAGTTTGATTGTATTAAGGATTTTTTCTGTAAACATCAGGCCTGCTAGCCCATGATGATCCCCCATGTGCAACATTTTGGCCTCCTGGGTAAAATTAGTTAGATAGCCGCGCTGTAAAGGATATGCAGGTAGTGTATTACATGTCCTAAGAGTTGACTTATTATTTGTTTCCTTTGAAGTTGGAGTACGTCTGCCTAAGAGGCAAGGAACCAACAGTCTGCACACGCATAAGTCAGATCTTTAAAATGGATGTGCACTCAACACTTGGGTCCTGGAACAAGACTAAATGTCCAGATGTGGATGAACCACCAGAACTTTCCGCAGGAGTTTACAACCTGTGAAGACGAAGACACCGGAATTATTAGGATTTGAAAATTCTTTTCTTTCAAAAATTGCTGTATCTCTACAATGGAGGTTGGCTGCCCAACTATGAGTTATTACATGGTGATGTCCTAATCTAATCTCTTCCTCTCTGCTACTGTCTGAAAGCCATGAGAAATCTCTGGTAAACTGCCCACTTTTCGGCAGTCAAACCCAGATAACCATCAATGATTGTATTGTGAAACCATTTCACTAATCTATAAGCCACAGAGTGACACAAGGTCTGAGAATGTGGGTGAGTACTTGGGTGGGATGGTCTGACAAGACCAGGGATTTGGTGAACGTAAATCAGGGATATTCAACTGGCAGATCAATTCCGGCCCACAGAGGCCTGGGAAGTGACCCTTAGGTCATTAGCATTTGTATTGATATTTCTACGCCGGGGACTCGGGCCACTAGCTCATGATGATTTTTGTTTTCAATAGTTTGGGCTCGTGAGTCAGCTTAGTTAAAAAAGCCTTGACATAAATGTTGGAGTTGTATACTAACTTCCAAACTGTATTATAGACACGAGTGCCTGTGGCAGCATGAACACACAACCTACTTTAGCTTTTAGTATTTAGGCTTGTACGAACTCTACAGATTTTAACTTTATCATGAGAGGAGGAGCGATTGGAATGCTGGACTGTCATGTAGGAGACGAGTTCGATGGTACGGTATAATAGGACTGTTTTTGTACCGGGAGAAGATAAACATCTAAGCCTGCCCAGTTTGTGGCAACTCCTTAAAGCTAAAGACACCTCAATGCTAGACCACCCTAAACTGTGATCCTGCCACATAGTTGGTTTGTTCTGCTGCAGGGTTTGGCACGTATTAGTTCACTGCAGGGTTTAGAACTATGCTTGTTCGGTTGAAGAGTTCAGCTGTACTGTTTCCTCCTTGAGAGATTTGGTTAACCTGTTACAGGGTTCAGAAATATTTTGTGTTGCATTGTAGTTAGAGAAACATGGTTTTTCTGTTGCAGGGTTAGAGAAACATGGTTTTATGTTGCAGGGTTAGAGAAATATGGTTTTATGTTGTATGGGTAGAGAAATATGATTTTTCTGTTGCAGGGTTAGAGAAACATGGTTTTTTGTTTTGAGGGTAGAGAAATATGATTGTTTTTGGTTGCAGGGTTAGAGAAACATGGTTTTCTGTTGTAAGGGTAGAGAAATATGATTTTTCTGTTGCAGGGTTAGAGAAACATGGTTTTCTGTTGTAAGGGTAGAGAAATATGATTTTTCTGTTGCAGGGTTAGAGAAACTTTTTTGTTGTTGCTGTTGCAGGGTTAGAGACACATGGTTTTCTGTTGTAAAGTAAAAGTAAAGGTCCCTTACATGCCAGTTATGCATTAGGGGCTAGACTCATATTTCTGTAGACCAGTGAGCCCTTATTGGCTGATCTGGTCAACATCACACCAGGGTTTTCTGTTGTAGGCATAGAGAAACATGGGTTTTTCAATTGTAGAGTCTAGAAATTTGGTTTCTTCCTATTGTAGGATTTAAAAATCTTTTTTTCTATTAAGGATTAAAAAAAAATGATGCTTAATACAATAATTTTGTTCCAATGCAGGGTTTGGATTCAGTGTTTATTCATTTGCATCGTTTGGAAACAAAACGGTTTTGTTTCGAGACATAGTCGTTTTGTGTCCGGTTAGACAGATATTTGTTCTGTTTCGCTATGAATTAGACAGTCTAGTTCTATATCATCAAAGGAAATGTTTATAGTTATTTTTCCCACAGCTAAACACCACACATGTAGTCATTACAGTATTACATCATCCACCTTTACCTTTCCAAATCTTTTGCATTAAATGCAAATGACTAAATGATGTGTTTCATTTATGTACTATGGATCTCTCAACCTGCAAAAACATCAATGCACAATTATGTGTGGGATGATATGTATAAGAAACGGGGTGGAAAAACAATGAGGGGCACGGTACTGTGATTGCATAGAACATCGGAGAATCAAATGGTTTGGTTACTTGGTCAAAATAGAACAAAATCAGCCAACAGCTAGAGCATGCTACACAAGAACAGCAGGCTACAATTTGAGAGGCAGACCAAGAAAGAGATGGATGGAGGAAGTAAAAGAGACCACAGCAACACAGTATGACATTAACAGGTCATAGGAGGCCACTAATTAGGCAGGAAGTTTCTGCTGGTGTTTATAGCTGGTCGGTAATACTAAGTAAGGAGTCGCTGTGGTATAGCG